AGGGAGTCAGTTGTCAGACTTTATTCTGAATTAGACTGTTGCAGTTTGAGAGGTTTAGATCTCTCAAGGACCAGAGTATAGGATGAGGTTGTCTGGAATTAATTCACAGACTCAAGCATTCTTTAAGTCAAGGTGGCAAAGATTTATTGTTATGCTATACAGTGGGCAAGGATTCTCAAAGAACCTGCCATGGTGGGCAGAGCTCCTTAGGAAACTTTCAACTTAACAGGAATGATGCTAAAGCTTATATAGGAAAAATAGTGAATTACGTGGCAAGTATGCTAATTAACATACAACCTTGAGCACAGGTGTCATTCTCTACTGTAAACCGAGGGGAGGGGGGGAGGGGAGAGAAGGTTCTTAAAGGGTATATTTTTGGTCTGTTATGTCTGTAACAAGTTGTTTCAGGAATTGATGTCTATAACTCTACCTCTGGATTTTATGTGGTAACTGTGGGCATCAGTACTTGATAGTTCTTTTGGTACAAGATAGTCCTGTTCATAGAAGGGAAATTCTACAGAGGTCAGCTTGTTCTTGCAACAGGGAGAGATAGTTTGCCTCACTGGGCCCACTCATGAGTCACTGCCAGAGACAGGGGAGAAAAACTATCATGGATAGTGCCTTGAGGCTATGGAGAAATATGATCTTAGAAGTGGGGTCTGAGTACAAGTAACCAAGCACCCCAGCAAGACTACTTTGGGAACACTAAAAGTTTCCAGAACCCCAGCTTAAGCTGTACCTGAGAGCCTAAAATAACATAATCCCAGAGAAAGCAGTAGCACAACTATCTATCTCAGACTTTCCCTCCAGAAGTGTGCAGATTCTTGCTTTAACAAAGTAGACTGAAAAAATGTGCAAACAAAAAAGAATTCCACCATAAAAAAAACTATTATGATGACAGGGACTTTTCTTTTTTCAGGCAATTGGGGTTAAATGACTTGCCCAGGGTCACACAGCTAGTGAGTGTCAAGTGTTTGGTCTGAGCCTGGATTTGAACTCAGATCCTCCTGACTTCAGGGATAGTGCTCTATCCACTGCACCACCTAGCTGCCCCTTATGTTTTTTTATTTGGTCATTTCTTTAGGTTTTTCTTTTTAGTCATTGCTTTAAGGCAGTGCAGTGATCTTTAATTATCTCTTCGTGATCTGTTTTTTTAAAATAATCTGTTGTTTTTGGAAATGAAATACCATATAATTTCTTTTATTTTTCAGTCTTTTGACTTTATTTTAGTATTTCTTTTGTTTCGTGGATTCATTAACTTCTATTTGTTCCACTTTAATTTTTAAGGCATCTGTTTCTTGGGCAAAGTTTTCTACTTCTCATGCTAGGAGGTTATTTCTGAAGGCATCACCTCCCTGATGCCATGGTCCTCTTCAAAAACAGAGGACAAACAACAATATTTTGCCTTCTAATACTTCCTTCCATAGTTCTTAGTTCCTTTCTAATTCTTTCCTATACTAATCTCATTTCATTTATAAAAAAAATCCTTCCTTCCTACCTTCCTTCCATTTTTTTTCAATTTCCTTCCTTCCTTCTCTCCCTCCCTCTCACTTTTCTTTCCTTCCTTCCTTCCTTCTTTCTTTCTTTCTTTCTTTCTTTCTTTCTTTCTTTCTTTCTTTCTTTCTTTCTTTCTTTCTTTCTTTCTTTTCTTTCCTTCCTTCCTTCCTTCCTTCCTTCCTTCCTTCCTTCCTTCCTTCCTTCTTTCCCTCCATCCCTCCTTCCTTCCTTCCATTTTTCTTTTTCAACTTCCTTCCTTCCTTCTCTCCCTCCCTCTCACTTTTCCTTCCTTCCTTCCTTCCTTCCTTCCTTCCTTCCTTCCTTCCTTCCTTCCTTCCTTCCTTCCTTCCTTCCTTCCTTCCTTCCTTCCTTCCTTCCTTCCTTCCTTCCCTCCATCCCTCCCTCCTTCCTTCGTTTTATTCATTCATATTGCTTCAATTGTTGTACTAAATCTGTATATTGTTTTCCCATATCTACTCATTTCACTTTGTTTTCATTCATGTACCTACCTGTGTTTCTTTTTTTATGCCACATCCATGTTCATTGTTTAATTACTGCAATCAATGGCCATTTACTTTGTTTCCAGTTCTTTGATACAAAAAGTGTGGCCTTAATTATCTTGGTTCATATGAAGCCTTTCTGTGTGTGACTTTATGAGGGTAAAATGCCTAGTATAGGAGTCACTGCATTAAAAAACATACATTCTTAATACATATGTATATATGTACACATATATATTATATGACTTTATTATACGTTTGTAAAGTAAAATTTTGATTTTTTTTTCATTTTTGTATCACCAGCATTTCTCAAAATACACCTTTTTACTCCCCCTCCCAGAAAACAATCCCTTATCACAGAGAATATGAGAGGGAAAAAAATTAACTCAAGAAAACTAACCAACATATTGAAAAGATCTATCAATATATAAATTCCTCATTCACATCTTTCCTGCTGCTACAAAAAAGCTAGTGGAAGCACCTTCCCATATCTCTTCTTTGAGGCCAAGCTTGGTTGTTATACCTTAGTATTTAGAATCTATTTTTTGCTGTCACTGCTCTTTCCGTTTATATCAATCAATCAATGAATAAACATTTATTAAGTACCTACCATGTTCCAGACATTGTGCTAAGTACTAGGGATAAAAAAAGAGGCAAAAGCCAGATCCTGCCCGGGAGGAGACAATATGCAAACATCTGAAAAGCAAATGTGTATATATACATATATATGTGTGTGTGGGTACATGTATGTGTGTAATAAATACATTATTGGAGTCATTATGCATATTGCTTTTTCATTCCCCTTATTTTATTTTACATAAAATCATTTCCATGCTTTTCATGTTTCTTTGTAGTGATTATTTTTTCTTAAAGCTTACTAATATCCCATTTTATGAATGTACTTATATTTAGTCATTCCTCCATTAACGAGCCTCTATTTTGTTTCCAGTTCTTTGATGCCACAAAAAGTGCTGTTATAAATATTTTGGTGTATATGTGCCTTTTTTTTTTTTTGCTATTGTGCTCTTTGGTGTATATGACTAGTGTTGTTCATGAGAACAAACCCCAAAATCTGGAGCAGTTTTAGAAATAAATTTATTAGGTTGTTTCATAGAGAGTGAGAATTGGAAAGAAAGGGTAGCTCTTTTCTCAAGTCTTTATGAAGTTATATTATATAAAGTTCAGACAAAGGTGTAAGGATCTTTGCCTGACTGGCTTCCCATTGGCAGTAGATACTGTCCAAGAGAAGTTTGAAATGTATATAAGCAGGTAAGTCAATCTATTTTGGGGAGGCCAAAATACAAGTTTTGGGTGGACCTAAAATAAGATTCAAGGAGACCCAAAACAAGCACTGGGCAGTGTGAAAAGGAAAATTCTCTGTTTGTGCCTTTATCCTGATACAAGAAGCAAGACTCAAGAAGAGAAAATTAAAAGGTGTTTAAACAACAAGAACGAAAAAACAGGAAGGCTGAAGCAAGTTAGGACCAAGAATGAGGTTCAAACCAGGCCTGTTTTTAAAGACTTTTCACAGTAAGAGCAAGATAATTCTGATAGGTTCTGTCTCAAAAGGGGACGGGTCATTGTTTCTTGGCTCCACCCCCATTGCCAAATCATAGGGAAATGAGAGTAGAAGTGAGGGACAGTGAGATAAGTATGCAGCTGACTACATGCTGACTCGCAGGTAGGGGGGTGGGATAAAGGTACATGCCTTAGATTGGCTGATTTCTCTCCCAACAAGACTGATTAATGCAAAGTAGCAGGTGTTTACTAGGAAGACAAACCAAAGTAGAAACAATGGGGTTGCTAGGATTGATGTAGCATAAATTTCAATAGTGAGAACTACACATTACTTACAACCATCTGGTTTACCTGGAGCATCTGTGAGGTCAGTCTGACCTCTACAGTAAGCTTTTTGGGTTAGACAACATTTTAGCCACATAAAACTAGGTTCAAACAGTATTAATAAATAGCAAAATAATAATCCACACTAGCTGTAGACTCTCTCAATGAAAAAAGCATGGACATATTTGTCACTTTCTTTGCACAATTACAAATTACTTTGCACATTGATTGCCCACCTTTCCACAGAGGGAGAAAACAAATATTTATTAAGTACCTATTATATATCAAGCATTGTACTAAGTGCTTTGCAAATGTAACTCATGTGATTCCCACAACAATCCTGTAAAATTGGTGCAATTATTAATAATCCCATTTCTAGTTGAAGGAACTGAAGCAGATAGAGATTAAGTGACTTGCCTAGGGTCACAGAGTAGTGTCTGAGGTTCGATTTTAACTCAGTTCTTCCTGACCTTAGAGACAGTGCTGTATTTGTCATGCCGCCCAACTGCCCCTTTGAACACTGCCTATTCTCATCTTCGCAGATTTTCAGGGTAAGAATTAAAACTCCGGAGTTATTTTGGTTCACGTTCTTTTATGTGGTTATTAGTAGTTTGCAATTCTTCTTTTGAGAAGTGTTTGTAACTTTTGGCCACTGATCTATTGACTAATGACTGAAGCCAACCTGTTCAATTAGCATAAATCTACTGTTCAACTGGCAAGAGTCTGCTTGGTTATGTTCTAGAGTCTAGAGGGGGTGGGACTAGGGGGAGGGAGTCAGGCTACCCAGACACATTTAAAGTTATAAACCAACAAGTTAGGTGGGGGTGGAACTAAAATACACATTCTGCCACTGAACTACCATTTTCCTAAATCTAGATAGTAAGGAACCAGAGGTAAGTGCATAGACCCAAGTACCTGCCATCTCGATAGCAGTGTAACAAATCCCTGGGCTCGTTAGGCAGAGCACTAACGTCAGAACCATAAGAGCCCTGGATACAGACAAAGCCCTGGGGGCAGTAGGTCTCTAATTCAAAAGGCCAGCTGTTACTTAGCTCCACATAGGATGGGAGCTATAAGAAAATCTGAGAGGCACTAAAACGATTAGATGCAATACAAATTTAAGTTGATCTGATGCTGTAAAAAGAAGGCCAGAAGGTCAGGTGGAAGGGTAAATCACCTAGCCCAGCTCACCTCAGCTCACCCCAAGCAGCTCCAGCTTTGCAGTAGGTAAGTACTAAAGACCTCAGCACTGCTAACTTCTCTTTCATTCTCCTCAGTTCTTTCTCTCCTCTCCTCTCCTCTCCTCTCCTCTCCTCTCCTCTCCTCTCCTCTCCTCTCCCTCCTCTCCTCTCCTCTCCTCTCCTCTCCTCCCTCCCCTCCCCCCCTCCCCTCCCCTCCCCTCCCCTCCCCTCCTCCCCCTCCCCTCCCCTCCCTCCCCTCCCTCCCTCTCCTCTCCTCCCCTCTCCTCTCCTCTCCTCTCCTCCCCTCTCCTCTCCTCTCTCCTCTATTATCCTCCTGTCCTCTCCTCTCCTCTTCTCCTCTCTCCTCTCCTCCCTTCCCTTCCCTTCCCTTCCCTTCCCTTCCCTTCCCTTCCCTTCCCTTCCCTTCCCTTCCCTTCCCTTCCCTTCCCTTCCCTTCCCTTCCCTTCCATTTTCCTTTCTATCTCTTTCTCTTTTTCCTCTTCCTCATTTAACCCTTCATTCACTGAAGTACAGTTGCCGCTTCCGAAAGACCTAATTCTTAGTTATGTTATCTGGATTTTGCTGCTTTAGAATGATTAGAAGAATAATTCATAAGTTAGATGAAGTTACCAACCATACCTGGAAATAGGAGTGTTCTGGGATATTCTCAAACCAGCTGTTGAGTTGATTGTGAAATTTTCCCTACGAGTATTTACTCCTCAAATATTGGCAAACATTACACATCAGTGTGTAATTTGTTTCTTTTTATTCTTTGGACTTAAGAAAGTGATAGAGAAAAGGTTAATAATACAAATTAAATATAAAAGTGTGTTGAGAGTACTCTCTCTCTCTCTCTCTCTCTCTCTCTCTCTCTCTCTATATATATATATATATATATATATATATATATATATATGTTTTTTTTGAGAGCAAGAGGGTTGTTAAACTCCTACTAGAACATACCGTGACACCAAGTTTTTACTATTGCACTGATAATTACCTCACACAAACCATAAGGCAGTTTACTAATTCAATTCAATTCAGTAAATATTTATTAAGTGATTACTGCATTCAGAGGACTTTCCAGGTATTGTTTGTGATCCTCAGCCATATTATCTTATTATTAATTCTTCATATCCTTTGATTCTTGCCACGTAAGTTCTATTTTCTATTTTTTTTTTTCATTATTTGTTGCTCTTCTCAGGACCCTCTTCACTTTCTCTAAATATTTTTTTTTTAAATATTAAGTATTTTTAGAGTAGGAAGGGGATCTCAATCTAGATTGCAAAGAACAACAGCAGGATGCCCATCTCAACATTCCCTTTCCCAAATTTTGTCTAACATTATGAAGCCTGAAACTCTCCTGGGGCCCTGACCATCTCTGTCAGGGATGTGATAATGTACACATTCCCTAGTTCAGAGTCTCCCTTGGTCAATATGGGTTTGATTTGAATATGGTAGGAGTTGTTTCTATGATGTGAATGATTATATTCTTTGTTTAAGCATTGCCCTTTCTCTGGACAATAGGAAGGGTAATGCATTAATTCCTTAACACCTTGGGACAGCTAAGTGGCACAGTGAATAGAGTGCTAGGCCTAGAAGTCAGGAAGACACATCTTCCTGAGTTCAAATCTAGCCTCAAACATTTACTAGTATGTGACCCTGGGCAAATCCCTTAACCCTGTTTGCTTTAGTTCCTCATCTATAAAATGAGCTGGAGAAGGAAATGACAAATCCCTCCAGTATCTTTGCCAAATGGGGTCAGGAAGAGTCAGATGGGACTGAACAACAGCAAAAAGACAATGGAATTGTCTCTTGGGAAGGGTAATACATTAATTCCTTATCATTTTGGTCTGAATTAGTTTATCAGATAAATGGGAGCAAGGAAATCCTTATTACTAATGACAATAGCATTAGCACCTGAGTTGAAAGTCCTGTATTGGTTGGCACTGCATTCTCAAATTATTTTTTAAAAAAAGTAGAAAATTTCCAGTATCATAGTTAGAATCTGAGCATGAGACCAGTCATCTATACCCAACCAGAACTCCCGCTCAGATAATTAAGACATACAAAGATCTAGCCTTTTCTGAGGGTTTTTAGAGGAAGAGAGATACAATAAATGTCTGGGAGTGTTCAAATAGCTCATTTTTATCATATCACACATTGCCAGAAAAAAGATAATGCTTTACCTCAGTGATATTTCAGTGATAATAGGTGTATCTTTTTCTTATCATCCTTTATTTAATCATCTTTGTAGTCAGGAAACTTTTCTTTATATGTAGAGCTCTGTCACTGCCAGGTATGGCAAGTTTTTCAAACTTTATCTACTGAATAACAGCTAATCACTAGCATTCTCACAATAAGGCTTCATATAACTAAACTGAAGACAGCTGGGTTAGTTAATCTCTTCAGTCACGTTTTCTGAACACTAAATGATCCTTTCTCTTAGAAGTTTGGCGCACCGGATCTATTTTTTATCTTTATGTCATTTTGGTTAATCTTCTCCAAACTCTTTCTAGTTTCTCCCAAACATGCCTGGGTTCAGTATTTTTTAAAAGGTAAAAAGGTTTGACTCTTGCTAGGAAGAACAAAGAAATGACACCCAAAATCAGGGGTGTGCTGGTACGTATTTAAAAACTGGATCTCTGGGGAAAAATTGTATACCCAATATACTTTTAGGCTTAATCTTCATTATTAACATTTTATCCATTGCTTTCTTATGTCTGGCAATCAACAAAACAATAAATCAGGCCCAGATGTTTGCCAGTTTCCAAGGTGCATATATTCACGTGGAAAATTTAACAATCAGCTTTTCCAGTGATAAGAACTGGCACCAAAACACTGCTGCCCAGGATCATAAGGGGCAACACTAAGCCTCCATCCCCAGCTACAGTTGCCTACTTCTTAGAGTTTCTGGAACAAACAAGAAGCCATCCTAAGTAGCAGAATTAAATAGATGTTGTACGTGGGCTTTTTACCCTCACCAAGAGTTCATTTCCTTCCCTGACTTAAAAATTGCTATATTTTGTGCGCTGCCTCTAGGAAAGAAGATGTCTCCTCCCACTAATTTTGAGATTTTAAAGTCTATGTCCAAATTAATCTCGACATCTTGAGCTCATTACCTTGTTTCTAAGAACTATAGCTTTCACATAACTGGAATAGGTGATCACACCTATGGTGACATTCTCCAGAATGTCACTCCAAAATATTTCCTCTGGCTGGCTTGCATCAATGCCTCAAATTCCATTATTAGAGATACATCAGTCACATTAAAAATACATATGAAAGGTCTTTAATACCTTTAATTAATTAATTAATTAATTAATTAATATTATTATTTATTATTATTTAATACTTTAAGTCTTTAATACCTTATTATGAACAGATTTATGTGATAACTTGGTTACTTTACCAAAGTAACAAAAAGGATGATAAAAGGAAAAGGCTGTGGTGTGGAGTGGAAGACAGAGAGGTGGAGAAAAGGGAAACTGAGACCATTAAACTCACAATTTGGCCTAGAGGAAAAATTTTGCCCTTGACATCCATTAATTGGAAAGATTTAGAGATCTGACCTGCTCTTAAACACCTGCTACCATTTTGAATATTGTTTATGCTTTGTATGTTTTTTAAACAGTTATCTGAGTCATATTGAGCATCACAATTAATATTGGGAATATACATGCATTTGGAAGAGTGGCTGGCTATTGAAACAATGTCTTGATATGTCATTTAAGCTTCTTAAACAAGTCCTTGTTATTGATGAAATGTCCATGAGCAACATCCTCCTATTGATTTCTAGTATCCTTAGTTCAAAGAATGGGTAGCATTAGACAGTTTGGTATATCAATGTTGTTCATATATGAAGGTAACCACTAAAATTATGTGTAAGAAAGTACCTTGGTGATGATTTAGTGTTGTTGGCAATTGCTATTTTATTTCCCTAAAATCCAGTCTTTTACCTCCCTAAACTGTGTCATAAATCATGTGTAGCTTCTTTTCCCAAATATTGTGATCTATGTCCAGATTGAAATAGCATTGCTCTAATAAAGGGATTCAGAACCCTACTGGGCTCAGCATCCTTCCAACACAGTTTAGATCCTCAGACTTAGCTCATGATTTAGAAAAAAAGAGGTTAAAGGTTAAAATAGATTTAGAAAAAAAGGTTAAAATACCAATGCTGCCACTGGCTACTTGTGGGATCTTGAGCAAGTCATGTCAATCTTGTGGGGTTCAGTTCCCTCATCAGTAAGATAAAGATTTTAGACTAAATGTCACTTAAGGTCACTTTCAGCTCTATATCTATGATCTTATAATCCTTTGTGTTCTGTGGTACCTTCAGATGTATGAAGCATCATAGAGACTAAGGACTAAGAGAATTATCCAGAAGCCGTGTGTTGTTTTTCTACTTCTAAACATTGTCTCTTAATTGTCTCTTACCTAGCTCAGATAGAGGGATGTTTTACCTAAGCAACCTCTTACTTTGTGTGTGAGTGTGTGTGGTGAGTTGTTTGTTAAGTAAAAATATCTTTTTTGGTGGTTATACTTAATGACCTGCAGATTACAAGTTGTTTGAGGGCACAGAATGTCTCCCTTTTGTCTTTATGTTCTGAGTGCCTAGCACATAGTAAGTACTTCATAAATGCTTTTCAACTGATTAGTGACTGGTTGTATTCCATGGCATGCAATATTTGTTTAATTTTATGGTAAATGTAAATGACTGCCTCATTAACCTCTATCAACTGGAGATTACTTAACCTCTTAGGCCTAATTGATCAGACATAATTTTCCTCTTTATGTATCTCACTTAAATATTCCTTATTCCAATTTAATTTTCATTCCAGGGGATTTAAGATGCTCAGTTCAATGAAAATAGGGAACGACTCAAAGGTAATGGAATTTGTCCTTCTGGGCCTGTCATCCACCTGGGAGCTGCAGGTACTCCTCTTCTTAATCTTCTCCATGTTCTACATAGGTATCATCCTGGGAAATATCTTAATAATAGTGACTGTGAAGGCTGACGGCCACCTGCTTCAGTCTCCCATGTAT